CGAGATCCCGAGGTGGTCCGCGTGGGACGTACCTCCGCTGGGCCTCCCAGGAGCCCACGAAAGTGGCGACAGTTGCGCAGATCGCAAGCCCCCCAGGGGGCGGCGAGGTCCCGAGGTGGTCCGCGTGGGACGTACCTCCGCTGGGACTCCCAGGAGCCCACGAAAGTGGCGACAGTTGCGCAGATCGCAAAAGGCACGAGAGAAGAGGAGAAGGGAAAACAGGAAACAGGAGAGAAGGAGAAGAGGAGGAGAGGAGGAGCAGAGGAAGAGGAGGTGGAGACCACACTGCTCGATTCAAAACGAGTATCCAACACAGGAGGATTGGGAACAAGAGAAAAGGAGGAGGGGAGGAGAGGGGAGGAGGAGGAAGGACGGGGCGACCACACTGCGCTATTCAAGACGAGAACCCAACACAGGAGGGTTGGGGAAAAAGAGGTGTGTGTGTGTGTGTGTGTGGGGGGGGGGGGGGCACCTCCTCCCGCAGTGGAACACAAGGGCCGGCGGTAAATGTTGGCCCACCTTGAGCCTTTGGACGGCCCTACCAGGTCCCTGGACCGTAAAAAAGCAGATCCAGGATTCCGAAGACAGCCCCCTGGGAGAGAAGGACAAGGAACCTGGAGGAACTCCCAGGAACTCCAGGAAAGGGTTGGAGGCCTCCAGGAACCCCCAGGAAGGGGAACTCTCAGGAAGGGTTGGAGGCCTCCAGGAACCTCCAGGAACTCCAGGAAAGGTGACTTCCAGGAAAGGTTGGAGGCCTCCAGGAACTCCCAGAGACCTCTGGAGATGAGCAGAACAGCCGAGCGACCCGCGCCGCTGCCATCATTTGCCAGGCGGCGGGGGGGCGGAGGCGGCTTTCTGGGGAGCGGGGCTCGTCAGAAGCGGTCGCCTGAGACCTTAGCAGCAGTCGGACGGACGAGAATGCAGGAGGGGGTGGGGTTCGCGAGCGTTGTCGGCATGCATCTCAGATGGGAACTGACGAACGAACAACACGTGCCCATACCCATAGAGGGGGCGGAGGGGGCTATGGGTGCGTGAGATGGGGGTCCCCGTTCGAACGGGAGCCTCCCGAAGGATCCGACGACCCGCACCAACATCTGTAAATAGCCAAACCTCATCCCTCCGACCCTCGTGTGGGTACGGGGGTATGGATGTGTGTGTGTGTGTACGCGTTCGTCAGAACCTCATTCAAAGGGTTTGCTGAAACATCGGTACAGGTCTCGTGGACGGCAGCATCATCAATACGCCATCTCTGGCTTCGCCCGTCGGCGCGGCGCGGCGCGGCAGCGCGGGGTGTCACGGCGTCGGCGCGGCGCGGCCGCGCGGTGCGCGGGTCGTCGGCGCGGCAGCGCGGGGCACTGGCCACGGCGCGAGCTGCCCGCATCAGCACGCAGCACGGAGCACCGGCAGTCCTTGGGCCAACGCGCCAGGCCCGGCAGCCGGCGGCAGGGAAGCGCGGTGTGCTTGCACGTGGCGGCAGAGGTGGGTTGGCACAGGCCTCCACCCCAAGGAGGGTTGGGGTCTCGGTGGCGCTGATTCTCGTCGAGGAACGAACAGCCGCACAAGCACGAACCTTCGGACCTCCGAAGGATTGTGCTCATGGCGCTGTTTCCTTGTTGGTTTGCCCCATCTATGGGTCGGGCCCTTGGCCGCCGATGTCGCGCTGTCAAATTGTGTAATACGGACGGGTGGTAATGACGCAAGGCCCCTGGAGGCCGAAGTTGGGATCCTTTGGGCGTTGGGCGACCAGAGAAAACGGCAAAGGACGGGCCGCAGAGGCAAGGACACAAATGCAATTACCTTACAAAACTCGTCACACATCATTTGACGGTGATTGTTTTCGGTGCTTGCGTGGCTGGGGCTACGTCAATGCTGGCCCGAAATCAGGCAGCACCCTCACCGCATTGAAGAACGTGGTTTCTGACACGTGTCCGAATCATCGAGCGCTTCGATGTTCAACAGCGCGTCAATTCATTTGTTTGACGAGGCTTGTAAATGAAAGCGCGCGTCCTTACTAGACTTAGGTCGGGCATGTACCCCTACATGCGGCTTTTGGAGGAAACGACCACGTGGTTTATCAAACATACTACTATAACAAAAACCCGTGCCGATTTGCTTACTATTCTCGAGTATTCCCCCCTGTAGAGGGACGTGCCCGACTTGATACCAGGCGCGTGGACTCTGTACGGCGGCAGCGGCCTCCGCCAAAGGGAGGTGCGGCGCCCGGCGCCGCGGTCGTGGAGCAGGAGCACCAGGCGCCTCGATCTCTTGGCCCCAGGAGGTGTGCACCACCACCACCTCCAGGTATCCCTTCAAATAGGTCGGACGTATTCTCGTACGGGGGGGTTCTGGACGAAGAATGAAAAATAGTCAAACGATGCTCTAGAATGGTCAAAGATAACTCTAAAAGATCGTTATCAGGCTATTTTTCACAAATTTTGAATATTCCTCCTGTAGAGGGACACGCTGGACTTGACCCCAGGAGATATGCACCACCACCACCTCCAGGTACCCCTCCCTCCTCCACCCCCCCTGTTCCCCTCCTCGTTCCTGGGAGCGGGAGAGGGGTGAGGCAGGTGCGGTGGTACCCAGTTGTGGGCCCCGTGCGAGCCTCGATCGTCGACGACGACGGCGGCCACAACTTCACTCTCTTTGCAGGCCCTTGAAGGGGTCGGGGTTGGTGGCGAAACAACGAACATGCCAAGGCTACGGGGATGGTCGGAACCACTGGGAAACAGCCAACCACCCAACCTGCCAGGGACATGCCAACCACCCAATCAACGAGCCCATCAAGACGGAAGCCAACCGGGGAGTTCCAATGCTTCCATTCTCATCTCCTTCCGGATCACATCTCATATGTTCTCCTTGCTGTCTCCTCTCTCCTGTCTCGTCTGCGCTAACCTATCCCCTCCCTCTTCTCTCCATCCTCATCATTGTCTCACCTCCTCGAAGATCAAGTATCTGGTCATCGTCCCTCCTCTCCACTGCGCTCCGCTCCGCTCATCTCCTTAACATTCCTCTCAGACTCTCTACTCTCCTATCATGGGGAGCACAACGAATACAACATGGTGGCGAAAGAGAGGTTCGGAGACCAGGAGAGAGACGAGGAGTATGAGGAGGGTACGGGTGATATGGGGTGGAAGGAGGGACGAGGAGGGAGGAGGAAGATGAGGATAATGACGATGAGGATGACAAGGATGGGAAGGAAGATAATGATAATGAAGATCAGACAGAAGCGGATGAGCAGACGGAGGAGAAACAGCTAGATGGGGGCGCGGAACAGGAGGAGCATGAGGAGAGAGCGGCGTCTCTCTTGCCACTGGCTGCCAATGCGAGCGACCCCAGGGTGCCTAGCATCCCCCCCTCCCGCCCCTCCCCAGCGAACGGCAGCTGCCACAGCGCATCGGCGCTGCCCAAACCGCCGCCGTTGACGCCGGGGCCATGGTGGGTGGCGTCGTGCCTGAAAGAGCGGGAGGGGGAACCAGCTGACATGGTACCGCATGCCCGTGAGCGGCTGTCAGGCGTTACTGCTACGATGGGAATGGGCGTTGGGGGGCCAGAACTCTGACGTCGCGACTTTCCGTGAGACGTGGATCCCCTGAGTCTGGACCTCTTCCCCAAGACGGGCTTGTCATCCTGCGACGATGTTTGACGGCCCCAGGGCCCGGTGAGGCTGTCTAGGATCGCTCCCGATCTTCCCACCCTCGCTGAAAGTGTGGATTCTCCAGGCTACACTGCCATCAATCTTCGTCTTGGCGTGCGCCGAAGGGTGCCCGGGATAGCATGGCTTCGGCCCTGAGCCACCTTGCTACGATAGCGGCAAAGGGCTGTTCTGGTGGCGACACAAATGCACCATACCAGGACGAGGGGGAAGGAGGAGGGGAGAGAGGGGAGGGGCAGCGCACTTGTGCGAATAATCCCTGAAGTGGTGCGCGCACGCCCAGATGAGCTGAGCCCCGTAGTGCTTAGCCAACGTGACACCCTGGTCGTCTCCGAAGAACTATTTCAAGGCGACTGTCTGGATGTACCATCTTACCGTACGGTGGTCTCTCTTCTTTTTGCACACCATAAGACATCCAGGCCGCGCGCAACGGTCGCAGCAGCTACACACTCGTGCCTCGCATCCTCCTTTGATGCGCCAGACACCCGTGCGTCGCAGAATTTCTGCGGTGCGCACTCTCGCGTGCTTCTCTAACTGGGGAGGAAGTAAGGAAGGAAGGAAGGAAGGAAGGAAGGAAGGGAGGACGAAACGGTAGGATAGCAAAGGGTAGGGTAGAGCATCTACGTGAGCTGATTCTCCTGGCGCCTCCTGGCGCCAGGAGGCGCCCAGCTTATCGAGGAACGGGCCCCGCGGCGGGGGCGAAACCAGTTACATGCAACAGACAAAGTGACTTCGTACCCCTCCTTTACCCTAATTATCCTGCCCTTCGTCCGGCCCGAGGCGGCGGGGGGGGGGTGAAGGGGGAGGGCGAGGGGAGAGGGAGGAGAGGGCATGGCGCTCACGGCGTGGCTGCAGTGGACCTCCTCGGCTGGTCGCGGCGCTGCTTGCCATTCTTCCGCTGGCGCGGGTTCGGGTTGGCCATGGCCGGCGGGTGGTCGTGGCAGTGATCGCACTTCGCCTCGCTCCTGCAGCGGCTGCCGCCAGGCTTGAAGTGATAGTGGCACGGGCGGCACACCCCACCCATGCGGCAACTCTCAGAACGGGTGGACGGCAGCTCGGGCGGCGGCGAGACCTGCACGTACGATAGGCTCGGCGGAGCAGAGCAGGCACGACTGAAACCCTCTCTCTGGTCCGCATTGTCCAGAACGTGGACGAACGTGCTCTTCACAGCCCACAACACGTTCTTGACCGACGCCTCCAGCGGGGCATCGGCACCCGCAGACGCCGCCGCAATGCTGCTCGGCCGCTGGTGTCGATGGCCGCGTGCGAGCTGCCCGCTGCCTGGTCGAATGCCAGCTGGCTCGATCAGTACGCTGCCACCAGAAACATCCACCACAGCAGCCGCGGCCCCAGCCATTCCGCGTAAGAGGCGCGGAATCGAAAGCGAGGGCGCTTATGATGGCCCTGTTTTCCACCACCACCACCACCACCACCATAAGTTGGAGGGGGAGAGGGTCCTCCTCCTCCTCCTCCTCCGCCTCCTCCTCCTCCTCCTCCTCCTCCTCCCCCTCCAACTTCTGGTGGTGGTGGTGGTGGTGGAAAACAGGCCCATCAGCTTGGGGCCCGAGCGCGAGCAAGGTGAGGCAACTGGCGTGAGCCGATTGGGCCACCGGCTGCCGATTCTGGGCACCTGGCCAGAACGCCGGCGCTGGGGTCCCCTCCGCGTTCGCGCGTCGCGAACCCGCCGCAGCCTCGCGTGCGCGGCGCACCCCTCTGCGGAGTGGCGGCCCTCCCGCCCGAGCAGGCCGCGGAGACGCGGAGCGCGGGCTATCTTCACGCCCCCGCGGGCGACCTGGGCAGGCTGCGGACCGAGTGAGGGCGGGGGATCAGCCCTGAGCGACGACGACGGCGACGGCAACGACCTCATCAACGGCGACAGCGATGACGGCGACGACGACGACGAGCGCCGAACGCCGACGACGATGCTGACAGCGTTGGAATCCCAGAGAGAGGGCGACGCGGAGGAGAGCTGAAAGGGATTGGCTGGGGGACAAGCCTCGACCTCCAAGCACGACGGCCACCCCGCACCCGCCGGCGGGTGCCGGGCTGCTCCTCGATGGAGCACGGAGGCGGACACGTGGGTCCGCGCAGCGCGCGCAAGCAGGAGAGATGGACCGCACGTGCAAAGAATATGGCCACCCACCCAGCTCATCCTGCCCCCCTGCTCATCCCTCCCTCCTCCCCCAACATCCCCCTCACTCTCACTGCAGATTCCGTTATCCCCCTTTTAACGCATCGAACAAACAAGCTGGGCGACTGTGGGGCGTGGAGGTGGCGCTGCGTCGTTAACGCTCTGCCCCGCGCCACTGCTCTGGCAACCTTCACCGCCCGCTAATGCGCGATGGCGTCCTCGATGTTGTTGCTCCTAGCGCTCACGTAAGCCATCAAACGAAAGCGTGCGGGCACGCGTAGTTGTGTGTCCGATCGGGGGCACCGTCTGCCCCATTGGCGCGGATCGGGGTCTTTGCCAGCCCCGCTGGCGCGGGTGGGCCATTCAAATTCCGATGGTCCCCATCAGTGACGAGTCGCTTCTAGGAAGCAAGCTAGGACTTAGACATCGTACATCGGTTTCTTCATATCCCAAAACAGCATTGGAAAGCGACGGGGGTACACTTTCCAGCAAACAAAACCAATCCCTATAAACCAAGCGCAATTTCTAGGAACGGTCAACGCAACGCAAGTCTAGAAGTTGGCCATCACCAGCAATCAACACTCGCCGTCCCTGACCTGGACCTCACATGGGAGGCGCATCGCCTGCCTTAGCGGCCGGGACCATGACACACATCCCCCTGATCCCCGCAAGGGGGGTACAGTGGTTACGCCAGGCAGCAGCCACTTCAAAGAAGGATTGAAGCAAGCATGCAGGGACATAACATTGTCTGTGTGTGTGCATTCGGAGGGTCATTCAACGATGTGGGCGATGGACGCGACGCGGTGGGCAACCGTGGATGACCCAGGATCGCATGGGGCTTGCGTTACGCAGGACACCTCCCTGCTTTGTTTTGGCCCCAGGGGACCACTCGGACCCCCCCCTCCCATACAACCCCTTTTGGAACGTTGAAGCCAAGCTCGTGCTAGAACCCTCGCTTGTCGAGATGTGTGTGAATGACCTTGCAGTAGCCGACGTCGCTCAGATGCTAGAGCGCATTCTCGTTGAGATCAAGAACAAGCGGGGGATTTCGCTCAGCAAACGCATGTGGAACGCGACATTACCGTCAAGATCGTAGCCGCGTATACGGAAGGATACGAATGTGGGACCGCCTCAGACTCATGCAAAACGCCAACTTCACCCGATATTGTCATGCTTGGCATTCAATAAACGGATCCTGACGGAAACGGGTCCTGGACCCCGGGGCATTCCTCCGGGGGACCTGCGTTTCATCCAGTGTCATTTCTGAAAGCCCTGGGGCCCGTGGAGGGCCCAAGGGTGCCCAAAACGGGAACATACCGCATAGTCCCTTTTCCGTCGGGACCGGCTTGCTTCATGGCGACCACGCAGGAGAAGGGGGAGCGCCCAGACTCCTACTACACGGGCATACGTGGGGCGCCTTTGCGTCCAGCGCGGGGGCTGCCGCGGTCGAAGCCCCAGAGGTCGGCCCCGCTTCGTGCTCTCCTCTTCCTCGGCCCTGCCCCAAGGGTGGGCAACCGGCGCTGGCTGTTCTGGATGAAGGGCGACGCAGGAGGGATAACATGAGGGGTGAAAGGTGCCAGGGGGTGGGTGCGAAAGGCTCGACCTGAACAGCGGCGCTTGTTTCTGTTTCCGTTATGTCTTCGTTGTCCCTCGCTCTGCCTTCGTTCCGCCCTTGCTGCGACACGAAATCAACACGAAACGGTCCACGACATCGCCAAGACATAGTTACTTATGGGTCGAGCCCTGGTGGGTGGGCCGGGGGGGGGGGCCGTTGGGCCCCCCGAAACCGTGTGGTGAGGGACCCCGGTGGTGAGCTCGGAATCCCCAACGACCTCGCCGCGCGGTCCGCCACCACACGGTTTTGGGACCCTGGAGGTCCCAGCCGCCCGAGACTAACGAATCCCCACGAGTCCCAGCGCAGTGACGGACTCACCACGCGGTGTGGTCACCTCACTGTCTGGGGGCCCCGACTCTTCGACGCCTGGCTGTTTTCGGGCCACGACTCGGGCCTCCAGCGGCCGTTCGAGACGATGCGCGCCCCCCCCCGAAAGCTGGCAGCGAGGCGCAGCTGCTGGAACGCACCCCGAGGCTGGAAAGCCGACGAGAACCGACGAAACCCTGCGAAAACCTCGAACTTCGAATCCCCACGGGCTCACCGCGTGATGTGGCCTCCACGCCTCCAGGAGGCCCCCGAAGCAAAAGCGCGACTGCGGTGGCGGTCGGCTTCCCGGCTGCCTGAGCGCCGGCGGGGTGGGCACCTCGGGCGCCGAGGCGGCGGCGGCGCCGCTGGAGCCTCCGGGGTCTGGTGCGCAGACGGGTCAACTTCGGACACACGCAGGAGTGACCCTGGGCAAGAGTGGTCTTCGGTGCGCGGCTGCAGGGGGCCGTGGGGGGCCAAATCTGAGCGCGCAAGGTAATGACGGGGGGGGAACCCTGTGGGCCCGCACCAACGGTCACTCTGGCGAGGGGCCACTCTAACGCATCGCCGGCAACTGCCAGCTCTCGGGGACGACCAAAAAGGGGGCGTCCAAGAGATGGGTGCGCAAATGGTGGCCGGAGGCATGTGCGCGGACGGGGGGGGTGGCAGCGGACGCATTGAAATAAGAAGAGGGAGCCATGACGTCGGGAGGAAGAGGAGGAGGAGGCCCCAGCCATGATACCCCCCGCCCAAGTCATCACCCCCCTCCTGGCCGCCCCCGAAGTTCGTTCGCTGCATGTGGCGGGCTGCGGGAACCCTACACCAACAAGCCTTGCCATCTCTTGGGAGGCCGATTTTCACTCCCGATGGATTCTGCGAGCTTTCGCCGGCGGAGGCGGCCTCGTTGTACTTCCGCGGGCTGCTGCCGCCGTTCCGCCGCCTTCCGCCGAGGAAGAGACGGTAACTCCTTCGATCCCTCGACGACGAGGCCCTTTCTGGAGCGCCCCATGTGGCTCTCTCGTCTTCTCCCCTCCAGTGCTCCCTCCTCCTCCTTCAAGATTCGGCGCTTGATGCGTCGCTGATCAGTGTTGATCTGCTCTCTCCTCCGCATAACCAGTCCACCCGAATCGGGCATCCGCCAAAGCTTGCAGCAACAAGTGCTGCACGGGACAGTGCAAGAGGGATGCTGGTGTAAAAATGGGAATGTGTGGAGCAGTGCCGTCTGGAGGCACGAGGTGTGGTCGCGTCCATCCGCGCGATAAGGACGGCTCACCGCTGGGCGCGAAGGAAGAGGGCGCCTTCTGAGAGCCATGGTTGCAACACATGGAGTCAGGGCCCGGCCGCTACATCAAGCAACCATGCTGCATGGGAGGGAGGGAGGGAGGGAGGGAGGGAGGGAGGGAGGGGTTGGGGAGGGGATGGGGAGGGGAGGGGAGGGAGGGAGGGAGCTGCACCTCCCCCAGTCCGCTCTTACCTCTCCTCTCGTCTCCTCTCGTGTCGTCTCTGCCCTTGCTCCCCATCCTCTCCATTCCTTTCCCCTCCCCTCCTCTGCGGACCACTCCTCTCCCCTTCCAATGGAGACGTGTGTGAGTATAGTGAAGGTCAGTCCACAAGAAACCCTCAAGAAACCCTCCACAAGAAAACCGACACTAAGATTGGAGGGCTCCCGGATGGGGCCGGAGCAGGTCGGAGGACCCGGCCGCATCGTCGATGCATCTCCGATGCATCGGCGACATCGGCGACGTCGGCGTTGCATCGGCCGTCGTCGGCGATGCATCGGCCACGTCGGCGTGGAGAAAATCGGGCTCCACATCCAGCTGCATCGTCGATCGGCGATGCGGCGCGATCCTCCGACTCAGCGCCGGGAGGTCGCCGTAGGCGTCATGAAGCCTCGGGAGGCCCAGAGCGAGCCAGAAACGCTGAGAAACGCTCGAACACCCCTGACCTCGACGCCCAGAGAGAACCAGAAGCGCTCAGAAACGCTAGAAGACCTCCAACGTCGACGCCCGGAGTGAGCCAGAGACGCTCAGAAACGCTCGAAGACCTCCAAACTCGACCCTCGACCCTCGACCCTCGATCCTCCTCCTCCTTCCCCTCCTCCTCCTCCTCCTCCTCCTCCTCCTTCTCCTCCTCCTCCTCCTCCTCCTCCTCCTCCTCCTCCTCCTCCTCCTCCTCCTCCTCCTCCTATCTCTCCAGGGTGGACGGCGCCTCCGAAGCGCGACGGCGGCGCCGTTGGCGGCGCTGCCCTGCTGGGCGGCCAGAGCCGGGCGCCACGAAGGGTCCCGGCCGCCTCCTGGGGACCGGGGGGCGGTCGGGGGACTCCAGGGGCGCGTTGGGCCGAGGGACAGGAGGAGGAGGAGGAGGAGGAGGAGGAGGAGGAGGAGGAGGAGGAGGAGGAGGAGGAGGAGGAAGAGGAGGAGGAGGAGGAGGAGGGGAAGGAGGAGGAGGAGGAGGAGGAGGAGGAGGAGGGGGAGGAGGAGGAGGAGGAGGAGGAGGAGGAGGAGGAGGGAGGAGGAGGACGAGGAGGAGGAGGAGGAGGAGGAGGACGTTAAGGTTGAGTGCGGAGGAAGAGGAGGACCATAGTAAAATCAATAAGCATCAACCGATGTTTCAAGTCACCCTCCTGTCCCGCGCCCCCCCTTCAAAGTCCATACATTGTTTTCTCCACTGCCGGCGCCCCCCCTTGAATGACGAGCGGCCACTCGGCCCGTCAGACATGCAAAAACGCTTGTTGTAAAGGATCCCCGACCACTTTTGAAAACCGCCCCGGGTATCTCCATTTTGCCCACGATCCGTCTGAGCGTTGCAGGATGTCAAAATCGTGGACGTATGCCCCGCGGAAATGCCACGCGAGAGCTCTTCAAGGCCCAGGGGTAGATTCATTTTGAAATTGGCATACCTCCCATGTGCCGAAGCGTTGCAGGATGTCGAAGTCGTGGGCGTATGGCTCGCGGAAACGTCACGCGAAAGCTCCGTCTCGAACGAGAAACCGCCTTTCATCCGCGCTAGCTGCTGCACAACATGGAGCGCAGTGTCGTAGAGGTCGAAGACAAGTCAAATGAGCGTAGATAGTGGAATTGTATCCGACCGCGTGCGAAGCCAGGGGGGGTCCCCATTACGGCGGCGGTGTTCGTTAAGGAATGCGGGAAAGACTCTGCACACCCTGGAGGGTGCCTTATCTGGTGAGGGAGATGATGGTTCCCATGGCCGATCTACAATAGGACTTCCACCGGCTTCCAAACCCTGGATTGCTTATCTTCGGGTTTCTTATCCAATGCCCCCAAGATGGTCTGGAAAGGGCCTCAGCAGCGGCTGCAGCGGGGCCGAAGCCAGGGCCCGCGGGCCCGCAGGCCCAGGCCAGGAAGGACCTCGAACGGAGGATCTTCCCGGACGAGGCAGCCGATCGGCGAGCTTCGGTCCCCCTCGGCAGCCACGAGGGCGACGTGGGCCGAGAAGCGGAGGGCGGACGCCCAGCAGCCGGAGGGCCTTGGCGGGGCGGCGGCACCTTCGGCGGCGACTGGAGCTGGCGCGGAGGCTGGGGCGGCCCCTGGCGCGGCGGAGGCGGCCGCCCCGCGCCCTTCGCTTGCGGCCGCCCGCCAGACGGGAGAGGTGGTCATCCTCCCGCCGCTGGCAAGCGTGGCGCGAGCGCGCGGCTTCGGCAGCCTGGCCGAGGCGCGCGCCGGAGGCCTGGCGGTCCGAGACGAGCGCGCGGAGGCCGCCCGATCGCGAACGGTGGGCCCCAGCCAACGTCAGGTGCGGAGGAAATCGCGTCCTCGGTGGCTGTGGCGCCGCTCGCGCGCCGTGCTAGCACGGTTTGGGGCGCGCCTCTCGAAGCCTTTGCATGGGCACGGGTCTCGGCCCTCGAAGTGAAGAACAAAATGCCCCCACCGTCTTGCAAAGAATTCGCCATCCACTCGCGCAACAAACACTGCGAGTCGATCTGCGTGAACGATGCGACGACTCGGACGCGCCTCATAGTGCGCGGCGGCGACGGCGATGCATCGGCGGCGAGCGGGTGCGCCACATTCCAGACCGACCAGATGCAGGGCTACCGTGGGCGTTTTGAAATTCAACAGTGAAGTCTCAAACCGCTTATGGTTAGACGGCACTTTGCGCTGCAGTGCGGATCGACCTGCAAGAACGATGCGACGACTCGGACGCACCTCGAGGTGCGCGACGAACACGGCGATGCAACGGTCGGCGAGCGAATGCGCCACTGTTCAGACCGACCAGGTGAAGGGCAACCATGGGCGGCTTAAAACTTCTCAGTGGAAATGCACGCCGCTTATGGTTGCCCTGTACTTTGCGCTGCAGTGCGGATCGAACTGCAAGAACGATGCGACGACTCGGACGCGCCTCGAAGTGCGCGACGACGACGGCGATGCAGCGGTCGGCGAGCGACTTCGCCACTTTTCAGACCGACCAGATGCAGGGCAACCGTGGGCGGTGAAAATACTCCCCAATGGAAATTGAAGCCGCTTATGGATGCCCTGCACTTTGCGCTGCACTGCAGATCGATCTGCGCGAACGATGCGACGACTCGGACGCGCCTCAAAGTGTGCGACGACGACGGCGATGCATCGTTTGGCGAGCGAGTGCACCACTTTCCGAACAGATCAGATGCAGGGTTATCATGGGCGGCTTGAAACTCCATCTTTGAATTTCAACCCGCTTATGGATGCCCTGCGCTGTGCGCTGCACTGCAAGTCAATCTGCACGAAGGGTGAAGCGACCTGGACGCGCCTCGAAGTGCGCGACGGCGACGGCGATGCATCGGCGGCAAGCGAAAGCGCCACATCTGGACCCAAACCGCCTAGATGCAGAGCAACAGTGGGCATTGTGGAACTCCCAACATGGAATTTGCTCATGGTTGCCCTGCAATTTGCGCTGCACGCCGGGCCCACTTGCATGCACGATGCGACGACTCGGACGCGCCGCACAGTGCGCGACGTCGACGGCGACGCATTGGTCGGCAAGCGGGTGCGCCACGTTCCAGACCGACCAGATGCAGGGCAACCGTGGGCGGTTTGAAAATCCAGATGGAATTTCAAACCTCCTATGGCTGCCCGGCACTAGACGCTGCGCTGCAAACCAATCTGCGTGGGCGACGTCACGACTCGGACGCGCCTCGAAGTGCGCGACGACGACGGCGCTGCATCGGTTGGCGAGCGAGTGCGCCACATTCCAGGCCGACCAGATGCAACGCAACCGACGGCGGCTACAACAATTTCCCAATCGAATTTCAACCCGCTTGAAGTTGCCCTATGCTTTGCGCTGCACTGCAGATCGATCCGCATGAACGATGCGACGACACGGGCGAGCCTCAAAGTGCGCGACGACGACGTCGATGCATCGGCCGGCGAGCAATTGCTCTACTTTCCAGACCGACCATCTGCAGGGCAACCATGAGCGGTTCTGACCTTCCACAGTGAATTTTCAACACGCTATGTCTGCCCTGCATTCTGCGCTGCACTGCGACTCGATCTGCATGAACGATAAAACGACTCAGATGCAGGGCAACAGTGGGCGGTTGGAAATTCCACTGTGGAATTTCAAACCGCTCATGGCTGCCCTGCACATTGCGCTGCACTGCAAATCGATCTGCGCGAACGACGCGACGACTCGGACGCGCCCAAAAGTGTGCGGAGACGACGGCGATGCATCGGTCGGAGAGCGAGTGCGCCACTCTCTGAAACGACCAGATGCCAGGCAACCGTGGGCGGCTTGAAATTCCAGAAGAAATTTCAAACCGCTAAATGGCTGCCCTGCACTGCGCGCTGCGCTGCAAGACAATCTGCATGAACGATGCGACGACTCGGACGCGGCTCAGCTCAAAGTGCGCGGTGACGACGGCGATTCGTCGGTCGTCCGACAAGTGCGCCACTTTCCAGACAGACAAAATGCAGGGCAACCATGGGCCGTTTGGAATTCCATAATGAACTTTGAAAACGCTTATTCTTCCCCTGCACTTTACGCACTGCTGCCAGTCGATCTGCGTGAACGATGCGACGACTCGGACGCGCCTCAAAGTGTGCGGCGACGACGGCAATGCATCGGTCGGAGAGCGAGTGCGCCACTTTCCAGACCGACCAGATGCAGGGCAAACGTAGGTGGTTTGAAATCCCAAATTGGAATTTCAAACAGCGTATGATTGCCCGGCGCTTTTACGCGATGCGGCGGCTCGGACGCGCCTCGAAGTGCGCGACGACGACGGCGAGGAATCGGTCAGCGAGCTGGTGCGCCACTTTCCAGACCGACCAAATGAAAAGCAACCACGAGCGGTTCGAAATCCCACAGTGGACTAACAAAACCCGTTCATGGTTGCCCTGCACTTTGCGCTGCGCTGCGGATCTATCTGCATGAACGATGCGACGACTTGGACGCGCCTCAAAGTGCGCGGCGACGACGGCGATGCATCGGCCGGCGAGCAATTGCGCTACTGTCCAGACTGACCATATGCAGGGCAATCATGAGCGGTTCTGACATCCCACACTGGACTTTCAAAACACTTCTGTCTGTCCTGCATTCTGCGCTGCAGTGCGGCTCGTCTGCATGAGCGATAAAAGGACTCGGACGCGCCTCGAAGTGCGCGGAGACGACGGCGATGCATCGGTCGGAGAGCGAGTGCGCCACTTTCCAGACCGACCAGATGCAAGGCAACCATGGGCGGTTGGAAATTCCAGCGTGGAATTTCAAACCGCTCATGGTCGCCCTGCGCTGCGGCGCTGCACTGCGAGTCGACCTGCGTGAACGATGCGACGACTCGGACGCGCCTCAAAGTGCGCGACGACGACGGCGATGCATCGGTCGGCGGGCGAGAGCGCCACTGTCTAAACCGAGCAGGCGCAGGGCAACTATGGGCGACTTGAAATTCCACATGGGGGCTGCGAAGGTTTTGGCCCGCTTCGTGTTTCCACGAAGACGCGCCCTAGGCGGGGGCGCCGTTGGGAATTCGAGCTGAAGAAGTGCCGACCACTACTTTCGAGGCAGGCCTGGGCGGGGCGCCATTCGGAAATCGAACAAAACGGTGTCGAACTCCAGGTTTCAGGGACTCCTTGGCGGGAGAGCCATTTCGAAACCTACCAGAGAACTGTCGACTTAGTCTTCGGCGGGAGAGCCATGTCGAAATCGACCCGAAAGTTTGGACATCGTTTGGATTTCTCTCGAGAACCTCAAGCAAAACCGTCGTTTCGAAATGGCCGCGCCGTTTGGGCCCCCCCTAGTTATGACAAAAAACGGCCGAAAATTTCGAAAGTGCGGTTTTCGCCAGAGACTTCCCCTAAACACCAATTT